TTTTTTTTTTTTTTTTTTTTTTTTTTGCTGCTAGACAGTCACTGATATTCTAAAGCTGGAATCTAAAGCTAAAATTAGAGTCAGACCTAGTTAGTACCTGGATAGGTAACCATCAAGAAATCTGTAAACTAGACTGGGAAGTAAAAAATAATAATAAAAAATAAAATCAACCTGGAGGAAGGCAACGGCAAAACACCTGAGGACAAAAACTATATGGACACAATCATGTAGTTATCAAAACATGAGCCTGACTTGAGTCTTTATCTTTTTAGCAAACGATACTATAGTGATAGATCCCCTTCCCTAGGTTAGACATTATGATTGGTTTTATGTTTTGTACTAAGTAACAATTGGCTAAGTACAATTTGCATAATACACTAAGCAAAACACAATGAATTAGCATGATGTATGAAGCTAGTGGTAGGACTGTACCATCAGTGGAGAAAAGCTAATAAATAAGTATGATAGTTTTCTACATGCTGGAGAAGGCAAGTCATCTTGATGAAGGAGTTAATTTTATCATGTAGGAAAGAACCTAAAACCAAGAGTTGCATTTTGCTTTCGATATGACAGTCACTTTGATATGACAGCTGGCAAAGGCAGCTTGCACATCAGCCTTTATGAGTGAGCTAGCCCCATTTGAAAGGGGAATTTTAGCTGGAATGTGAAATGGAAAAGATGCATTTTGAAATACATATCAGTAAAGATTAAGGTGAGACACAGAGAAAATGCCTGGTTTCCAATCTGGTACAAAAATAAACACTTATCGATTGATGATGATTATATGCCATGCAGTTGGTAGGACTCATCAGGTTGGTGGGACTCATCACAACAACAGAAATAGATTTTCTCCACGATGATCTGTCCCCAACCTAGTCCTTTGACCCTGCTGTGCTGTCTCATTGTGGCAAGGGAGTGTTCCTGGGAGGGATGAGTGAAGAACCATGGAAGTGTATGCTACGAGTATATAATCCCAGCAGGGCTGAAGGTCATCCCAGGTGCTCAGCTAAAGCCAGAGGCTCCTATACTGGGCAGCAAGAATACAGGAAAATGCTTGAAGCAGATGATCACTTGAGTGACAACAGCAAAGACGTTTCATACTGCACAGGAGAAGGCAATGGAAAACCACCCCTGTATTTTATTAAAAAGAAAATTGGATAGACATATAAATCCTTATTGCAAATCTGTAATGTGCTGCTTCTGAGGTTTTAATCAAGCAATCCATTTATGAACACTAAGGTATGTTTTGGATAATATTTAAAAATAAACATTGGAAATTTGTGACAATCCTGTATCTAATTCTTATATGTATTTAAATTTATTTGCTTTTCAGTACTTTTAAAAAATGTATTTTTCTATGCAAAAAAGGAAAAAACAAAGAATAGAAAGAAAAAATGTCCATGTCATATTATGTACATACTTTATTCATCTGAATTTTTAAATAAATAAGATTGGATTCAACAAAATAATACTAATCAGCCTTTCCATTGCATCAAACAGTTCTAGTATGATTCGGTACTGGATTAATAGAAACATAGAAGCTACCTCATAGCAAATCAGATATTTGGTCCAGCTACCTTCATGTTTTCTGGAAGCGGTTTTCCAGAATTTCATACTGGAGCATTTTTTGCCAGCTGATAATACTTTACTCACTTGCCTGAGCTCAAAACTAATCAGTGTTGGGCCTAGTTTGTATTTGGATGAAAGATAAATTGGGTGTAGGGCTGTAGGCTAAATTTGGAAGATGAAAAACATCCTGGAAGAAAGTAATGGCAAAGTGCCTGTCTACGATTGCCAAGAAACCACCAGGAGATGAGTTTGAATAGGAGCCTTTTTTTTTTTTTATGGAAGCTTTTGCTCTTTTAAAGTATTTATGACTGGAAGAAAAATCCCAGTGAAAATTTCTCAATTACGTTTGGAGTCTTTATTGGAAGGGCTAGAAAGTCCATATTGTAATGTTTTGAAAAGTGTGGCATGATTCTTAAGAAAAAATCTGCTGAAGTTGATTAGAGGAAGTGGATTAGAGTCCTCGATGGTTTATGCTAAAACTTTTGAGACTATAAAATGCCACAAGACCGTTATTTACGTTGCAGTAGATTAAAAATCAGCCCTTTACGGATAGTTAAGAACACACCCCTTCCTGGGCAAGAGATGAAATTTGCGGGCAAGATTTGAGTGGATGATTTTCCGCCGTGTTCTAGAACCTGCTTGGCGCGTCCCTAGCAACAATTTGCGCGGGATCTTTTTGTCTTTGAACGTTGGGGAAGCTCCACCCTCAAAATTGGTTGGATTATCGAATTGTCGGTTTCTAGTTCCGTCGTGTTTCTTTGGCTCCCGATGCAACTGCGTAGTCATTCTCCGCCTACTTGGTTCAGGCTGGACACATCTCCGATCGGGCAGGCAGTTGGGTATGTTATTTCGTAGGAGTAGAGGCGTTCCGGCGACTCGGATGGAAAGCTCTTGTAGCGTTTGTTTTCAGCATCAAAGACGATCTCGTGTGATAAAATTAAAGGAACCCTCTGAGCATGTGTAGCGAGCTAATCCTTCTTAGTTTAGTAGCCACCAGTAGCCATAACAGGAGACGCCCTCCCATCCCCTCGCCTTGTCGGGGAGCCTCCTGGTGTGACTAACCACCTGTTGCACTTGAAAGCAGTTCCAGTTGCGTTGGCGTTTTAGTGACGGAAGGTGTCCAATTGCTACTCGGGGGCTTCACTGCTGTCAGGTCAGTAGAGTCTAGTGATGCCAAACGCTTTTCCTCTGTGCCACTCTCCATCTCTTCCAGACTAACTGTCCTTGAAGTCCCTGCCCCACTACACATTCCTGGTTGGGAAATGCCAAATAGCTTAAAAAATGAATGCAAAATTAGCAATGAATTTTGTGTTTAGTTGGTATTAATCTGAACACGTGCCTTCTTTGTCCTCTGATATTTTAAAACTCTCCTCCTAATGAATGGCATCTTTAGGCATATCTTAATTCTAATTTTCCTCTGGATTTTTATTCTGTTGTACTTACTATTTTTCTCACTTGCTTTTCCTGCAGAGTGGTCTCAGAAACACCATATTTGCTTGCTATTTGGCAATTTAACTCTATTGCTAGTCTCCTTTTTATAAATATCTCAGATTCCTGCTGATTTCAGAGGACATGTTTAGTCCTAGTTCTAACATGCTATTCTCTTTCAGAGCCTGGAGTTTCTGTGAAGAACTTCTCCAGTTTATCTACAGCCATGGCAGCTAAGGAGTTTATCACTTCTAAAGAAATCATTTCAGCCCCATCTGTCACTGTGACTAATACTGGGATCTGTGAAGAACTGAGTAGATCTTTTCCCTGGACAAATAAGAAAAGGAAGAGTTGGCTTTCAAGGCTGTGTAGGAAGAAAACATCTTTGTCAGGTGATTACTTTGCCTGGCAAGGAATATAATGCATTTGTTAATTGAGAGTAGTAACTACTCAACAGAAGACATTCTTCCTTAGCAGATTTTCTGGAGAAAGCAAATAACAGAGTGGATGGGATTGTAAATAGAAGACTCTGTCTTCTGGATTCCTTCTAAACCTCAGTGAATAGTAGTACAGTTCAGTCATGCATTAATTGCCTTGCCTAAAGCACTTCAAAGGAATGGAAAATATAGAAAATAGAAGAAATTGAGTGTAAATAGATCATAATTATCTTTCAATCATAGATGTGTTTTAGACTTGCTGGGATCTCTTGGTAGGTGCCAACCTTTGCTCACTACACTTATGGCATCTTGTTATTACTGTTCATTTTTTTTTCTCCACACATGTCAAATACCTTCATGTAACAATTGATATTGGCAGACACATTGAGCTTTTTGCCAGCCCTGTTAATTTTGCCTCTTTAAGTTAGTGAGGCAAAAATTTCTTGCTAAACTGTTTCTACATAGTGTATAGACAGTTTTGTGCTGTCCCATCATTATATCTTTAATAACTTGTTGGTACTTTGCAGAATTAACCAGTTGTCATGAAAGCTTTATTTCTAGTATTTGTGCTGCTATGCTTCTTTTTCTTTTTGTTCTTAGAAAATGGATGGAATTCCTATTGCTTATCTTCATTAGCTGCCCGGAATATCTGTACCACCAAACTTCATAGCTCTTGGGATCATTTGGAAACTACTTCCCTTTGTTGTTCAATATGTAGCACCTCTTCTTGTTCTCTCTTAAATGCCCTGGCTTTGGGAGAATCCATTCAGGCACTGCCAAGTAGTATCCGTAACCCAAACAAAGCCATCTTCACTGTCGATGTCAGAACAACCGAGGTACTAAATGGATTTTGCATAATACTGGCATTCCCATTTATAGCATGCCGCTGGTGTGTATATAGAGGTTCACTAGATATGAAATTCTCTTGTACTTATAGAATATATTGCAATCAGTCATTTGAATAATTCACAAATAAATTTTATTGGGGGTAAAATTTGTGGGAAAAGTTTAAAACAAAAATACATCTTTATGGTCTCATTGTACAATACTAATTTATACTGTTTAGAAGCAGAAAACCTCAGCTCTTATTTCATTCTTCCCAAAGGGCATTTTGTAAATCTTGCAGATATCTTTGATATACAAGGTATACCAATGATCTTTTTTTTCCTCAGTGTATTAAGTATAATCCCATAAATATTAGACAAGACATTAGAAAGTTGGCTCTGGAAAAGCTTGGCTAGAGAAGATTTCATATATTAACTTTTAATTTTGGAAAAAAGGATCTGTTACAAGTCCATTTTGAAAAGGGAATAGGATCCATGTCAGTTTTTATTCCTTGACTAATAGGTGTTTTGGTGTAATTGGTGTCACTGAGAGTCTTCACTGATAGCAGCTGTAGCTGGCTCTGTATGAAAACTGAAAACCAAAATGGGGCTGGATTTACTTTGGTAATAACTGTACTTGGCATCCCACTTCATTGTTAAGAGCCAATTAAGTACTTTTTTTAACAAGAGACTACTGCCTGGATTTAACACCCATAAAATTGTAGTTTTCTGATTACTCATTTGTTAGCATTTGCTGGTTATTTAAGCTTGTAGTACCTACTGAAGACATGTTTGTAAATAAAACTACAATGATATGTTAATGAGGTACTGACTTTTAACTTTATAAATAAACCAACTGAGCAATAATAGAGGAGGCTAAAAAAAAGGAAGTGACTTGATTCACATTTTATGCTATGCAACAGTATAATTGACTTGGGCTTAGTGTATTGAAAAAATCCAGCCAATTATGATTTGTTCAATAAAAAACCAGATTTAATGTGATGTGTGAACCCAGATGGAGAGTAAATGATAAAGCAATAATTACTGAAATTCACCTCATGATGTATCTTGTGCTCTATCTAGAAAATGTTAAGGTTATGTTCATGCTTACCCATAGTCCTTTGATATGGTCAAATGACTAATCAATAAAGTATACTACTACTGCTACTGCTTACCCCATAGTCAACAGTAATTTACTCAGCCCAATTCACATGAAACACTGGGCCATAAACTAAACAAACCATAAACTAAAATAAGGCTGCACAACAGTCTAAACTAAAATGTGGTTGGCTATTTAAAAAAAAAACCTATTACAAATGCTAATGATGTATTTAGTGTCACATTTTATTAATGACTCTTACTTTTAAATAAATATATATAAGAATACGTGTGCTATTAGAACACATTGGAATTCAATCCCAGGACACTAGCTTTTTGTTTGTGCCCATTATTTGTTATAGAATCAAGTCAAGAATTCTCCTTCAAATCAAGTTTGACTGCTATCAACTAAAAAGACACATCTGTTTAGTTTTCACAAAACATGGAAATAATTTGCCCTTATCTTCTGGAATTGATTTGTAACTTCTCTACAGCACTGAAGAACGCCCAACTATGCATAGCTCTGAAGTCTAGCCAAAGATAAATTTACTGAGCTATCTTGTTCTTTTTTAGATTCTAGTTGCAAATGATAAAGCCTGCAAGATTCTTGGATATAATACTCAGGAAATGATTGGCCAAAAATTATCTGAAATGATTTCCAAATCCAACTGGGACATTATGGAAGCTCTGAAAGAAGAACATACTGATATTGAAGAACATGGACCAGTAGTTCCTGGAACAGTGGTGTGTAATTCTTCGATTAAATATCTTGTAGCAGAAATATGTTTATCAGTATTTCAGCCTTGTATTTGAAATTACTTTTTTATCACAGAAGAACTGCCTAGGGATCTATGGGAATCCTATTTGTTTCAATATAGGTTTGCCTTTGTTCAGATTTATTGAGGAAGTATTTATAAAAAACTTCTAAAGCTGTAATAGAAGTAAAACAATGTGTTTGCTTTATAAATACATAGGGCATGTAGTAAAGATAATTTGCCTTTGTTTAGTGTTTCTGTGCAGGGTAGAAAAGTCAGAATGTGCTTAAACCTACATATGAGATCACGTACCGTATGTACATGCAATGTGATACTGAACTTTTAACTATTACCAGAGCACAAATAGACTAATTTGGGAGGAGATAATTCTATTTGTGATTAATATTCATCTAGACTTTTAACAAATATGTCATAGCCTTAGAATTAGCTATACTAAATAAATGTTTTTATAAAATGTAGTCTGTTTGATAATGAAGCATGAGTAGTCCATAAGAAAAACAGATCCTTTTCAAGCTTTACTGATGACAATCAGACAAAACTGGCTTGTGCTGTTTCTATGCATTTCATTGTGCAACACTAAATTCCCTAGTTATTCTATAGCTGACCAAATTGCTTTTAAAGATAGTGCTACCATGGCAGTTGAAATGCTAGCTACTCTACTGAGAACTTCACATACATATACATAGCTACTTTTCCTTTGATGCATTACTCAGAAATGTAGGATGTGAACTGTGTCCTACAAAACCAATAAAGATTCTTGTGGAACCTTAAGGGACACACTTGTTTCATAAGCTTTCAGCAGTAAGGGGAATTACTCTCTATGACTTGTGTAGTATATGCAGTAAGAGATATAATTGACCGGTCAATTTGGAAATTTCTGTCCTATTTTATGCCAGCTAATGGCCTAAAATATTGCTGTTCAATCCTGCACAAGCTTGCTGAGAAGTAAATTCCCCTGGAGTCTATACAATTTATTCTTGAAATTTAAAGGGGTTGAAGGTTCCTAACTGTTATTGCTTGTACCTGACCTCTTTTAATCTGCATTAACGCTTGCTTCTTTGACAAATTTGAAATGGGATAATATTACCGATGAACTTAATTTGTAGATCTGTAGTGAAAATTATTGAGATACTGTGTATCTTTAACTTAAAATATTCAAAAAACGCTATGCAAATATGCAAAATTATGATAAAATTCCTTGCAGGTTATGTCTTAAATCATCTACAGAATACAAATTTCATAAATCAAGCATCTGAAACTCTTGGATAATCATGGCAAAATTCTGTATATGAATTTAATTATGATGGAATCATCTGGAGATAAAACTGTTTTGATAAAACCTGTTAAAGTAATTTTGATATAATTAATGAAAATTCAAATATCAATTCATTATCATTAAAAAAGGATGAAGTATAGAAATATTCTAAAAGACATTGTTTCCAGGCTGTCTATCTAAATTTGCAATTTAGAAGTTTAACAGTGTATTTTATCAATAGGTAGATGTTATTTCCCAAAATAATGAAAAGATCCCTGTCTCTATATGGACAAGAAAAATTAAAACCCATTGCAGTCAGTACTGTGTTGTTGTTTTGGAGCCTGTGGAAAGACTCTCTGCTTCTGTTTTCTTCAAAAGTAATGTGAGTAAACCAGCAAAAAAATGTAAATTGTGTGGGAATTACAGAAACATGCTTGTTAACATGGATGTCAAACCTCATGTTAGCCAACTTTACCAATGAAAAGAAACATGAATGCTGCTTGGTTGTTTTGTAATTGTACACAAACAACATTGTTCTTGAAATAATACAGTAGAACTGGAATTCTTTAAATAAATGATTTGATAGCTATAAGGCTATCTTGATGTTTTTTGATGTGAAGAGGTTGCAAAGAATAGCCTGTGATTCATGGAAGTGAATGAGTCTTTTTTCTTTAAATGTTATTGTTGCCCTCTTATAGAAAGGCATAATATAAATATTTTAAGTAAAATTACTATAAAAAAATTAGACACTGCAGGATACAGAATCAGTGTGGAAGTTCGTCTGCCTTCTAGGCTCTGTTTTTCCTAGGCTCTGTTCCCTGAGTCAACAGCCAACATTATTATTATTGCCCATTATGTGTGTATTTTGGCCACTTTAATACTGTTATAAAATCAATGCTTTAGAACTGAATGCCTAGCATTTATAATACAAATTATGTTAAACTGTCATATTAAGGGAGAGATTACGTCTTGTGACCCCCTTTTTGCTCACCTTCATGGATATTCATCATCAGAAGATGTGGTTGGTCACTACATAAAAGATTTGATTCCTTCTATCCAACTTCCTGCACCTGGGAAAAAAATTCCAAAGGTATCATTAAGCTTATTACAGACAATTGTTGTCTTAAATGCTGAATGAATAATAGATTTTTACGTAGAATGATGCTTATGGTTAACTAACTATATGATAGTAATTTGAAACTTTTACTCTTGATTTTCTAGTCTCTGTCAGTGAAAATTTTAGTAGCTTAGATTTGCATTATTATGTGATTATAGCTTTCTTCTTTCAGAGTATCAAAATTCAGAGATCTGTTGGCCGAGCAAGGGAAGGAACAACATTCCCTCTCAGCTTGAAACTGAAAGTAAATCTCCCTGTTGATGAAGTTATCTCAGTATCAGATGACCCTCTACCAGCCATGGATGCTGAAGCTTTGGAAAATAGCACATCTTTACCAAGAGATGGTTGCTTCTGTGCTACCATCTGGGTGTTCACCACTATCAGTGGACTGGTAACCATTCAGGCAGATGGCACAATTTATGGAATTAACAATACGTTTTCCCTAATGCTATTTGGTTATGAGAAGAAAGAACTATTAGGCAAGGTAAAAATCTTACTGTAGCCTTCTACATAACAAGAATTTGTACAGTCCAGTCTTTCCTAGAATGACATTCTTTCTCAAAAATGCATTCAGCTTCAATCACCAGATTTCCAGTCTTTCAAGTTATCCATTGCCCAATCCCATGCTGTTTGGAATTTCTAGTGATTAGAGTCCAATCCATTTGAGGGCCACCAAATTGGGAAAGCTGATTAGTGCTGTTTGGGATTTGGACAGGTCTTTAATTTAGAACAGCCTTTCACATTCTTGAGTACTTAAATTTTTTATTACAACCATGGCCAGAGATGATGAGAGCTATAGGCAGACAAGATCTGGGAGTTCAGGATTAGGAAAGACTGATCTTGGTACTGGGATACTGTTAATTAAATTACAAGAAATATTTCATTTATTTCAGCCAAAGGATGGGAAAACTTCACTTTTAAGTTTCCAGCAGCAAGCTACATTTCACAATAGCATTGTCTCTTTATGTACATCTTTTTAATTCAAGAATCAGTTACTATTAATTGCCACACAATAAGGGGAAAGGAATGAATTTTATAATTTCTCATTTTCTATTGTAGAATATCACATTCTTGATTCCCGGTTTTTACAAGAACATGGATAAGACTGATTCCTCTTTGCAACTCTCACAATCTAGAGAAAGTTGTGTGAATGCAGAAAACATGAATTCCTCTGATAATTTTGAAGGAATGCAGAGGGATGGCTGTGCTATCAGGAAAGGTAAATTTTATCCAAAGGGATAACATTGGATACCCAAAGTAATGTTTTGTTTTTAACAGGTTGTGATGGGCATTTGATTTTATAATCATGTCATGTTGACATATTGTATTCAGAACATATCAATTAAAAGCAATGGGATTTAAGTTAGTCATGGCTAAGTTCTATTGATTTCAGGGCACCTAATCTAAATATGAATCAACCTGAATTCAGTCTCCTAGTTTTTATTTTTACTTCTCTGAGGCATATCTGTTTAGAAAAATAAATTTTTCATATGGAGACTGACTTGTAATTGCACCCTTGATACTGGAAACTGGCATCACTATTAGAATCAGAGTATATCTTTGGGTATATAGTGTATATAGTGCAGGTGCTTATCAGTGAGCTCTAGCTGCATTAAAAGACAATTGTGAAGGAAAATATCTGGTTCAGCATCATTACATAGATTACAAAGAAGGAGATTATTTAAATTCACATCCCCAATGGGACCAGATTGCAGAGACCTATGAGGGAGAAGCTGTCATCCTGTTAGAATATAGATGTTCATTTGAGAGTAGTGATAAACTAATCCTCCTTTTCCCTCCCCTGTCATGAATACTGGGAATTCATCCCTTTTAGTCCCAATATAGTGTTAATTTAATTGCTGTTGCAACTTTAACAATCAGTATTTAAAGTGGCAATAAATTGTGGCAGAATGTGAAGTATAGTTTTTTATCCAGAATCCAGAATCACTGTAAATATACTGTAAAGTAGCCTTCCCCCACTTCCTATCCTGCAGAAGTGTTACTCATAGAATTCCCAGTCAGCCTGGCCACAATTCTAGGAATTGTATATATTGACTTAATTAGAAAAAGTTAACACAAAGTAATGCTGCTTTTACATTTACTGGTTGTCAGAGTTTTAGCTGTAATGTAAACAAATATAAATCAGCTCAACTACCACATAGCTACAATATTTCTAAACCTATATTTTCTCCAAGAATCTTTATTTAGGTTTTAGGCAACATGCATATCTACCTTATTGGGCTTAAAAAATAAGATTTTCTTGGGAAATTATTTAACCAATTGGAATGCATGCCATGAATAGCTTTCAAACTTCCTTTTCAAATTTAAATTGCATTATAAATACAAGTATTCAGCACTATAAATATGTAATGTTCAGCTTTGTGTTCAACTCTGGTTTTCTTTTCTTTTTTTTTTCGGTAATTCTTGGTGGTCTTCCTAAATGAGGATAAAATTAGTTTGCTTTCTTGTTGTTAATAGATTCAAAATAATTGTATACTGTTCAGATTGTTTTAAAAAAGAGCCCAGAAAATAGATATAGTTTATTATATTAGTACTTTTTCAAGGGAGCCTTCACTTTCTGTCCCAATTAAAATAGTTTGCATGTGCTAATTTATCTGGAAAGATTGCTTTTAATTTATTGTCATTGTTCATTCTTACCCTTGAATTTCCAGATCACATCCCTTACTATACATTTAGAGAACTGTAAAAACAGATGTCTTCAGAAAGGCATTTGGGAACAAGTAACATCAAGCTTCCTCCAAATATGGTGCATTGGATTGATTGATTCATTATTATTTTATTGATTTTTGTTTTTAATCAATATATTAATAACGTAAGCCACTCAGAGTTTCTGAAAACGGACTGGCATGTAAATTAAAGTAATAAAATAAATATAAAAATCCATACTAAAATATTGTCTTATTGTGCTTCAATAAGTACATTTTATCTCAGTTTTAACAGTGATATCAATTTACAAAACTACCATATTTACCCTGAAAGGAAAATGGCCATGAATTTTAGACAGTTCTGCCAAAAAAGGAAGACTAGATGGGGAAAAAATGAAACACAAAAATCTTGTGCAATTCTCAACTTCCCTACTTGATTGATCTAGAGTTAAGAATTCCTGCTGAAACCAGTCTTGCATTTTCCATTCCCTAAAACATGTGCATATATTGTGCATATATACCTTCCAAAATCCACATTCCAAAAGGCAAGGCAGGAACAAAAATATTAATAATAGTTAATAGTTACTGATGCATATCAAAATTAAGCATCCACTTATAAAATTAAATGATTTCTTCCATTTGAATATATTAACAAACATAAACAACTGTCACTGTCACTAACAAACTTCATTCTCCCTTTTCCAGCTATAACAACAAAAAAAGAGAAAAAATCTAAGCTAGAGAAGGAAAAGGAGGAAAAGCTAGATGTACTGGGAAGGGAAAGAAAGCAAAGAAAGAAGGACTGTATTAAAAAATGTAAAATTCACCAGGCAAGCAACTTCTCCCAAGGAAACCTTCAAAGACATCCATGCTAGTTTTTTTTATAGATCTGCAGTAATTTGCATTTCCCACCCATTAATTTATTTTCAGCAGCATTTCCTATTCTCATTGACTCAATGACAATCATAGAATTCCTTGCCCTTATTAATTAATGGATTTTTCATTTTTTCCCTTGGATTTACTATTATATATACAGTCAGGTCCAGAAATATTGGGACATCGACACAATTCTAACATCTTTGGCTC